GCCATCCATTCACATTTTCATTCATGGGTCAACAACAAACAAGCGTGTCTATAATAAAGGAAAAATTGAGACTATACAATAAGGTTCTATTTGTTAACATTGGCCAACTACAATAGTTAACATGAACTAACAATGAAAAATAATTCCATTAAGCAACATCAGAGAACCATAAACATGTGAATGTGTTGTTAAATTACTGAAATATTAAATTACTGATTCATTAGTTTACTACTATAGTTAACATAAACTAAAAAAAATAAAAATTTTAATAATAATTATAAAGTTTCACATTAACTAACAATAACTAAGGGGACCTTATTATAAAGTGTTACTGATTTTATTTATTTATTTTACTCACTGTACACTAAAGGTTAAATATATATTTAGAATTAAAAAAAAAACATAAATTATTCATTTATAAATTACATTTATTTTGTAATTAAATTACGTAATCCCATTACACGTAAATAGTTACTCCCCAACACTGATCGCTACACTATTGAAAAGAGACAATGGAGCTTATGCTAATGGAGCTAATGTGATTGCACTGTAAGAAGCTTATTGACCTTGACACACTATTTGCATTTTGTTGCACCACGTAACTTTGAAAATGTTTGCACATATTTACAAGCAGTTTTGGAAAACAAAAATAGATCAAACTCATCTGAACAAATAAAATTCAGTTGTGGTTGCTTGACTGACACAGGAGATATGCAAGCAGAATTGCAAAAAGTACTTAAGACACTTTTAAGTAATGAAAAAGGCCAGGTGGAATGATTCTCTTCTGTCTTTGAAAGCATCACAGAACAAAAGTCTCACATTTCTACTATTGCAGCAGTGACCTGAGTTATAGTGCTGCATCGATCTGACATTGATCACCTTCTTGACTTCTGAATGACAGATGCAAACTCTCTCTCTCTCACACACACACACACACACACACACTGCAGTTTTTCACATTTCTTGTCTCTTTGCTGAACAGCCAAAGACATCCTATTTATTGCAGTGATTGGATGCTACTAAAACAAAGCAGCTGGCAAACTTTTGATGGTGTTTTTTGTAATATTTCTCCAAGCAAATTCTTTCATGCTTATAAATCAATACATGCTATATTTAGCAAAGGCGCGAGCTTGTTTTCTTTCAGATAAACATCAGATGCTCTCTGATTTGTTTGCATAAGTGTGCCGGTGGCACTGTGTGTATGCATCTCAACGCAAAAGCAAGGCCTGAATGTAACTACAAATCTGCCATTTAGCCATGCCTCTCGTTCCTTCATCTTCTCTTTTCATTATCTATTATGTTGGCTTTTATTGCACACTGTCAGTTACACACAGACTCCCGCACACACGGCCCGTAAGGCCTGCTGTGTTTATGAGGCAGAAGGTGAAGGAAAGATTCTCCGTTGCAGCGTGTGTTTTACGAGTGCTGGTTTAAAGGATGTGGCAGTATTACTTCCCACTGTGTTGCTAGTGTCAGCCCTATATGGCACAGAACTGCGGTCGCATTCGGTGACAGGCTGGAGTATAAAAAGAAGATCTACATTCAAATGTGATGCTTATTGCACACTGTCAGTTACACACAGACTCCCGCACACACGGCCCGTAAGGCCTGCTGTGTTTATGAGGCAGAAGGTGAAGGAAAGATTCTCCGTTGCAGCGTGTGTTTTACGAGTGCTGGTTTAAAGGATGTGGCAGGATTACTTCCCACTGTGTTCCTAGTGCCAGCTCTATATGTCACAGAACGGTGGCCGCGTTTGGTGACAGGCTGGAGAGTAAAAAGAAGATCTACATTCAAATGTGATGCTGCGTTCACGTGTTTGAGAATTACCATAACTCAGGGATTCAACGCTGAGCTCTTCACATCTTTAGATTCACAAATGATTTGTTTCTATGGCAACACCTAAAGGCTTCAAAATACCTAATCAATCAATTAATTCTCTGTAAACGAATACCTTGATATTCCATTGCGAAATATTAAAGAACAAACAAAGTGTACAAGCAGTGGTTATAATACCTTTAACTGTTGGAGCCGCGGTCGTTTTGGTGTTTTACATGCAAATCCAAGTTGACATGTCTGACAAAGATGTGCATGGTTAATATCCATAAACTCTGGATTTCTGTAAATTTATTTGAACTTAGCAAAGCTGTTTTTTATGGGTTATATATTATTTTATTTTGTAATGTCTTAAAGGTCTAGTTCCTTGCTTTTAGTTCCTGGTTTCCTTTCCTTGTGTGTTCTAGTCTTGCCATTGGTTTATTTGTCTTCATAAGTCTTAAGTCTTGTCTTGTGACTGGTTCATGTTTAATAGTCTAGTTAGTTTGTATATACAGTATAACGCTCATGTCTGTTGTGTCCTGACTATGGTTGTGTTTCTGTGGCTTTTCTGATTGTCTTTATGTTTGTATAGTTCTTAAGTATTTAATGTATTATCAAGATGTTTTCTTGTTCTTGTTTTTTAATCACAACATCACAATTAGGCAGAAGTAAATAAAAAATACATCAGAGTGAATATTAAATTATTTCACTATTTTGGCTTGAGTGCCAATTTTTTTTTTTCATGTCTCTGAGTAATATTTGCTAAAATTCTCAAACACTAGCAAAATATCCCAGGTGTGTTTTTTTTTTTTCCATCCTAATCAAAATATAGGCAAAACATTGTTTTGGCAATATTGCTGGTAGTAAGTAAGTAAGTAAGTAAGTAAGTAAAAAATAAATAAATAAGAGGAATTTATAGTATTTCTTTGTTTATAGAATTTGTTTATCTTCAATAACAATGTCCACTCTTTTAATCTTTGTAATATCTCATTAACAATAGGTAGTTCCTCAATGACATCATCTTTCAGGAAGTGACATCAGCTGATGGGAAAACAACAGAACAAACTTTAGTAAGTGCAATGAATTATGAATTCTGTGATTTATAGTGATATTAGTAGGTATAACTGCAAAAAAAATCTGTTCAGTTAGATTTTTTTTTTCAAAACAATATTAATATTACAAATATTATTTTTGACTGTTAACTTTAGTTCTTTATTTACATGGTTAGACATCCTGTTTTTCTCACCATTGTTTAAATATAAAGCTAAAACAAACTTGAATTACTTTAAATCTTAACAACATAGTTTAATATTTTAAAAATAATTTTTTTATTAATATATTAATATTTAAAAAATTTAAAGTGTAAAGTATACAGCATAACATGAATGACCAGCATAATATTTAATCTCAGACCTGTCCTTTAAACTGCTAGACACATACTTTCAAAGCATACAGATCAATGCAGCAGGAAGTAGAATTTCGCTCAATCCACAGCTGACATGACAATACTCTGAATGTATTAGACTGAAGTTTTATCTAATTACAACCAAGCAGATGGATTGCGCTCGAAGACTTTTCTGCTTGGATCTTACCTAACACAATACAAATGGAACACGCACTTTGGGAGCAAATGAGGTGCAACTTACTTCCATCTGATGCACGTCCACACGCACATCCACACAAACACAGTTATGTGTGCACATATCAATTTCTTTCAAGGTAACCCACTATCAAATTATGTGAGAGGACTTCACATCATGAGATCAACTAATCATTGAGTTTTCAAAAACCATTAGCCTACAGAATTATTGCTTGTGCCAAACCATGACTTCAGAGAAGCGTATTTCTGCTGCACAACCAGGCCTGCATGGGTTGTCTATGCTCGCTTTGCTTAATATGTCCACTGCTTAAGTGATAGCTCACCCAAACATTTAAAATTATGTCATCATGTCAACCTTTTGTCATTCCAAAATCAAAATATATATATGAACTAATTTCTTTTATGGAACACCTGTTGAAACATTTAAAGACTGTACTGGTCGCTCTTGTCCATGCAATTACAATGATTCAAGCTTAAAAAAGAACACAAAAGCATAATATAAACAGTCCATATGACACATGCACAGTATTCTGAAGTCATTCAATAACTCTGTGTAAGTAACAAAATAACATTTAATTCCACACTAATTGTAATTGTATTGACAATAGCAACAACAGCCTTCTAAATTTCTCCTTTTATATTCCATGGATGCATTAAAGTTTGAGGGAGTAAATGCATTTTGGCTAAAGTAATTCACAAAGATTCGTAATTTCTGTTGCTCCATGTGATAGAATTGGCAGTAAGTAATTGAGAAAGAATAACATTTAATTCCACATTAATTGTAATTGTATTGACAATAGCAACAACAGCCTTCTAAATTTCTCATTTTATATTCCATGGATGCATTAAAGTTTGAGGGAGTAAATGCATTTTGGCTAAAGTCATTCACAAAGATTCGTAATTTCTGTTGCTCCATGTGATAGAATTGGCAGTAAGTAATTGAGAAAGGCCTTTTGGTGTGACGCAGCTGTTTTGCTCAGAGTTAAGGGAATTGTCATGAAGTTAATGGGGTCAAAGGTCACATCATCAGAATCAACTGTGCGTGGCGACCAGAGACTTTAATGACATGTATATTCTGATAAACACTGACAATTCTGCAAATGGATTAGGCTGAATGCTTCTTATGTTTGCCTGCATTTAGATGCTTAGATGTGTGTGTGTGTGTGGGTCAGGCTTTGCCTGTATTGTAGGGAACAAATATCCCCACAAGGATAGTAAAACCTGAAATCACCTCTATTGTGAGCAACAGCCAACGATCCCCACGAGGAAAACAGCTTAATAAACATACTACATAATATCTTAGGGAAAATCTAAAAGGCTGAGAGTTTACGTTAAGCATAGGGTTAGAGGATGCAAAATATCATTGACTCGGTATTGTGAATGCATTTGCATAATGTTGTGTTTTAGTGGCAGTTGCATGTATATTTAAACATGACATGACTGTAGGTAAAGTGAAACCGTACAGCACATTTCTCACATTTGCTATTACGTATGCAAGCTGCAAGCAAACTCTATGAAAAATTCACAATCTCACACTCATTCCCTCTCCTTGAAGCGATGATCAAGCTGGCTTTTATTATCTTACCCTTTATCGAGCAGCCGCTGCTTTGTTCCCTGCTTTTCAGCACAGAGTTATCTGGAGACTCAAAGTGTGACAGGACCAGAGAGGCTAGGAGGAGGAAAATCTCTCTATGTGAGCAGTTTGTAGCTGCAGCCCCAGGCGAGAGAACTAATACCCCTATAACGAAGAATCAGAGAGAATCGATACGACGCCCATCAACACCAGCGACTTTCCTCTCTGAAAGTGTGCACCCAACACCATTTGGTTACCGCAAAAGCATCTCCACGTGAAAGCACGTGCAAACTCTCTCTTGCACACACGTGCATGCACACACATGCAACCGGCAGGCTTGCAAAACTCCTGCAATGCACTAAAACACGTGTCCCCAGGAACGCTGGCAAAAATGCCACCTTACATGCTGGAAGGCATTTTAGATCCATGGCATCCTGGACAAGGAGCAGACGCTTGCCGTCTCAATGAGACAAGGGTCACCTACGGGGTAATCCTGCGATCCCCACCGGCTCTCTGTCCCTCTCAGCATGCTCCTTCTCAAGAGGGACGGATGATATTAAGACCCATTCAATAGTGACCGCGTGACACAATTGCACTCAGCCGGGTAACGGATATTCTAGCTCCCTTTCCTCCCTCTCTTCTGACTTACCTTCATTCGAGCGCAGAGGTAGCTGTGCAGTGTCAAGGGAAGCATGTTAGGGCAGCTGCGCTCTGTTCTGACTCCAGCTCTGATGTGCTCATCTCAACTGCCTCACTGCCTCGGCTCACACAGCGCTCCACCACCTCCTTACCTCGCTCTCCTGGAGGATGCGAGTGAGAGAAAGAGAGAGAGGGAGGGACGTGAAAGTGAGCATGAGAGGATGTGTCCTCCCCCACAGCCCCCTGCTCCTCCATCTCCCCTCGCAGGATTTGTCCTTTCTGTACTTGCGTGTGCGTGGAAGCATCCTAGCGCACAGCGAGTTGGATTCTGCGGGCTGAGGTTTACGCAACTGCGCAAAAAGACTCGACGAGAGAGAGAAGGAATCCTACTAGACGTTCTGGATAATCAATTTCTCTCATTTTTTAGCTAAAGAACAGCCTGGGGGTGAGATACACCACAGTGCAGTAGGAAAACTGGAAGATACTGTACGTACAGAAGCAGAGAGGAGGCGCAAGGGACTGAGCAAAATAAAGTTGGAAATTTGCTTCTCGCCCCTCTGCAAGGTCGTCAGTAAGCAGATGTTTCGGGAGCACTATATCAAGGTTAAACATGTGGCCGTCTACCCACACACCTCCAACATGCGAATAAACTCTGATTTATGACTTTGCAGTCTCCCCACACACAGACGCACGCAGTCGCACATGTCGTAATACACATCATCTGCCCAACGGCAGTAGATTCTGTGACTTCTATTGGATCTGTTGACTCCCAGCCCATGTTTCAGTGTAGGCACAATATGGGATTGAGTTTTGGGCCACACATGGGATTCATATCAGTTAATTGTCCCTTGTCAGATCCTATAAGAGATTCATATGGGCTAATTCAGATAGGGCCGACATGGAAACCCATTTGGGGCCCAAACCTTAAGCCCAAATTGTGCCTACTTTGAACCCACCATGAAATGTTGGCTGAGAATGTCAAACCAACAAGTCCAGTATTAGATCATGGTGGGCATTGGCGTACGGGGCATCATGATGCAGGCAGCCCGAAACTTATGTGTGGGCCCCCTCTTGAATTATCATCCATCCACCCTTGACAAGGAGCATGCTGAGAGGGATTGTGGGGACCACAGGATTACCCCTGTCCAACTGAGATGACAAGCATCTGCTCCTTATCCACAATGCCATGGATCTAAAATGCCTTCCAACATGCAAATAAACTCTGATTTATGACTCTGCAGTCTCCCACACACAAATGCACACAGTCGCACATGTCGTAATACACATCATCTGCCCAACGGCAGTAGATTATATGGCTTCTATTGGATCATTTCACTCCCAGTTCTATTGGATCTGTTGACTCCCAGCCCACGTTTCAGTGTAGGCACAATATGGGATTGAGTTTTGGGCCACACATGGGATTCATATCAGTTAATTGTCCCTTGTCAGATTCTATAAGAGATTCATATGGGCTAATTCAGATAGGGCCGACATGGAAACCCATTTGGGGCCCAAACCTTAAGCCCAAATTGTGCCTACTTTGAACCCACCATGAAATGTTGGCTGAGAATGTCAAACCAACAAGTCCAGTATTAGATCATGGTGGGCATTGGCGTACGGGGCATCATGATGCAGGCAGCCCGAAACTTATGTGTGGGCCCCCTCTTGAATTATCATCCATCCACCCTTGACAAGGAGCATGCTGAGAGGGATTGTGGGGACCACAGGATTACCCCTGTCCAACTGAGATGACAAGCATCTGCTCCTTATCCACAATGCCATGGATCTAAAATGCCTTCCAACATGCAAATAAACTCTGATTTATGACTCTGCAGTCTCCCACACACAAATGCACACAGTCGCACATGTCGTAATACACATCATCTGCCCAACGGCAGTAGATTATATGGCTTCTATTGGATCATTTCACTCCCAGCCCACGCTTCAGTGTAGGCACGATGTGGGCTTGAGGTTTGGGTCCCAAATGGAATCAATATCAATTAATTGTCCCCTGTCAGATTCTATAAGAGATTCATATGGGCTAATTCAGATAGGGCCGATATGGAGCCCATGGGCAAACCCATTTGCCGGCCCAAACCTTAAACCCAAATTGTGCCTACTTTGGACCCACCATGAAATGTTGTCTAAGAATGTCAAACCAATGAGTCCAGTATTGGATTATGGTGGCCATTTGTGTAAAGGGCATCCCGTTTGTGCTGGCATGAATCTAAAATGGATTCCAACATGCAAATAAACTCTGATTTATGACTCTGCAGTCTCCCCACACACAAACACATACAGTCACACATGCCGTAGTACACATCATCTGCCCAAAGTCAATAGGTTCTGCGGCTTTTATTGGATTTATTGACTCTCATCCCACATTTCAGTGTAGGCACAATATAGGATTGAGATTTGGGCCCAAAATGGGTTTATACACAGGAGTCAGTGAATTAGCCCCAGTCAGATTAATTTGGGGCTAATTCAAATAGAGCCGACATGGATTCCATGGACAAGCCCAAACCCCAATACCTTATCATGCCCACATTGGCCCCACAATGTAAAATCAATGAGTTTAGTTTTGGATCACAATGGTCAATGGCGTAAAGTGTGTCCTTCTAGTGCTGGGGCCCCAAAACTTATATGTGGGCCTGGTCTTGACTATCCTGACTTAATTTGGGCGGTTTTACTCTTCATAGAAGCAGCAGATATTCCATTTTCACACATTTCCAATGCTGCACTCACTCGCATTGATGTATTTACACAGGAATCCAATTGCGGAAAACAATATGTCACGTCCTTGAATGTGGTTCATTGATTCATGTGCACAGTGGACCCAATATACAATGTGCACTGATTGACATGCTGGAGGGCCAGTATAAAAGAGCCTGTGATTTGTAGAAATATTTGTAATATCACTTCTGAAACAGATTTACACTTTGGTACACTTTAAAATTAGCCATTTTTAATGGTTTTCAGACACCTAATTGCATGTTATTTATTTAATTGAAGATGTATGATAACATATATTTATATTAAATACAGTTGTTTGGATGTTTTTGACCCACCTACGTATCTTTAATTTTATAATTACTTCTATTGTCTTTGAAATAAGTTACTGCTGAATGTACTGACAAGCATTTATGCTAAACTAACATATACTATAATGTACTTTCTATTGAAAATTGTGTCTTGTATTTAAAAATATTTGTAAATGCACATTCGCAATGATAAAGTCACACTTGATATATTTAAGTTTAAATGTAATATCAAAAAACACACTGCAGTTAAACTAATAATTAAGTACTTTTTATGTGCTTTAGTGTTTAGTTAATCAGCACATCAAAATAAGTGCACTTCTTTAAAACATGACCAACTATTATCAAAATGCAATATTTAAAATGTATTTTAAAGTAAAACCTTTAATTTAAATTATTTCAAAGTGCAATTTGTTGTGTACTTAAGTGTGTTAAGAAACATAGTCATGGAAGTGTCTCTCTTTAGGTACACTTAAATAACTTTTTTTCATTAATATTGTATTATCAGCAAGTATTGTTTTTTTCCCTCTTTAATAAACATTTAATAATTAAAGTGCACATGCAATATAGTTAAGCACTCGTCTTTTCACAAGAGACAGGGCTTAAATTGCTTCAGTTTATTACTTTTCGCTCACTGTGAGCTGACTTGTCTAGTTTAATTGTCAATTGTATGCTTTAAAAAACAGTACGATATAATATATAATAGCATCATTTCCGTGTCTATGAGCAAGGATGGTAAAATGTAGGTTGCATACTTTAGAGGATTCTGTGCCAGTCGAGCAGCTGCCTTTGAAGTGAATGAGAACGCTAGCAGACAATTATAGGGCTGGTTGGGATGCTCAAATGAACAGAGCAATGTTATAGTGCATATTAAGCATTATACTTAAGTAAGCACACTTACATTATTTCGTGTGTGCATCACATTTAAGAGTCTTGTAAACTCAAAATAGTTTTCTGTTTTGATCAGCAGCTATGCTTTGAGAACAAACAGTGGATGAATACACATCACAGTGCTTCATTTATATATCTCTCTTTTTAATGTGTGATAAAGCATTACTTGATGCCGCATCAATCAGCTGACCCTGTAATTGCAAAATCAATAAACATTTTCAATGGGTTATCAATCCAATCTTGAAAGTGTAATCAAAAGCTTGGTCCTTCATTATTCCAAGCTTGTTATTTATTTATTTATTTATTTTTCCTCACTGAATCACTAAGAGACTTGAGAGGAAGGTTATAGAGATGTGAGAACAGAGGAAATAAAGACAGCAGATCAATGCAGTATGTCATAAATCTTTAATTCTTAATTTCAGTAGGTTAGGACAGGCCAGTTTTAATCAATGCAATCTCTATCAGTGTGTAAATTATGTTTAAAAAATGCGAAGTGCTGT